CCTCTAGGCCGAGCGCGTGTTTTGCAGATCATGACCTAGGGGGCTGCTGTATTTCGATCATGACTCTAGGGTGCGCGTAATGTTGGCGGATCAATTACGTGCTAGGCGTCGTGTTAGCCGACATGACAGCCTCTAGGGAAGCGCGTGTTCGACCAATTACCTCCTTTGGGTCGCGTTTTTAAGCGGACCATCGACTCTAGGGCGGGGCGTGTTTGTCGGATCATGACTCAGGGGGCGCGTGTTTGCGGACCATTACTCTAGGGCGCGTATTTCGGATCATGACTCTTGGGGTCGCTTTAGCCGACCAATGACTCTAGGGGGCGCGTGTTTGCCGGATCATTATTCTTGGGGTCGCGTTTAAGCAGGACCATGACTCTAGGGGCGGCGTGTTTGCTGGACCACGACCTAATCGGGGCGTGTGTTTTGCCCTGGACCATTCATCTAGGGGGCGCGTGTAGCGGGCCATGACTCCTAAGGGGCCGTGCTGTTCTGCGACCATTACCTCTAGGGGGCGCGTGTTATCCGGCCATACCAGAGGGCGCGTATTTGCTGGATCCATAGCCTAGAGGGGGCACGACCCTCCGGCCGGCCATATTCGCGCGCACGCTTACTCTGGGGGTCGCGTTTAGCGGGACCATGACTTCTAGGAGGCGCGCTTCTTACGCCGAATCATGACTAAGGGGGCGCGTGTCTTGCGGACCATTACTCCTGGGTGTCGCGTTTAGGCAGGTCATGACTCCTAGGGGCGCGTGTTATCGGGCCATCGACTCTAGGGGCGCTATTTGCGCGAAGTTACTCCTAGGGCGGGGCATATTGCCGACATCTACTCTAAGGGGGGCCCGATATTCTGCGCCGACCAATTACCTCTGCGTGTCGCGCTCTCTAGCGATCATGACCTAGGAAGGCCCCGGCGTGTTAAGCGGATCACCACTAGGGCGCGCCGTTTTGCGGATCATGCACTTCACGGCGCGCCGCGTGTTACGGGATCCATGACTCTCTTGTTCCGGACAGTATTAGCGGGAACGCATGACTCTCAGGGCCGCGTTTTTACGGATCGATCACACATAGGCGGAGAGAGACCATTACTGCGTCAGCGCGAGGCCGTGTTAGCGGGGCATACTCCTAGAAGGGACCGCCGTATTTGCGCGGCACCGATTACTCTAGGGGGGGGGTGCCATATCTATGCGGGACCCATTAACTGCGCTGGGGGGATAGGCTCGGCCGCGTTTTAGCGGGGACCGATGACTTTAGGGCGCGCGTGTTTAGCGGACCCCATGACTCAGGGGGCGCGTGTTAGCGACGATGTACTGCTAAAGGCCAGCCGCAGGCGCATATTTCTGCCAAACCATGACTCTAGGGGGCGCTGTCTTAGCGGATCATGACTTGCTGGTCTCGCTTTAGCGGCCACCATGACTCTAGGGGCGCGTGTTTGCGATCATGATCTCTAGGGCGCGCGTGTTAGGGGACGCATGACTCTACGGGGCGTGTGTCTTGCCGACGCATATACTCTAGAGCGGGGCACTCATTGCGACATTACTCCGTTGGGCCGCGCTACTCGCGGCCCATCTCAGCTCTAAGGGGTCGTGTTAGGCGCGCCGGACGCATTCTACTGCGTGTGGCGCTCGCCGGTTTCGAGTCGGACCATGACCTCTAGGACGTGTACAACATAAGCGTCCGCAAAAGTTCAGCGTTGCAGCTATATCGTGCTCTAGAACAAATTCATTCTTTAGGCATTTTTTCGCAGAAATCGCACTAGAGTGCGCAATAATTGCATTATGCACGCAAGTTATATGGCTCGTGGACGTCTAGAAAGCATTCGAAGTAAAGATGGTCCCTGTTTTGTATTGTGCCACTTCCAGCAAGTGGCGAGCCATGGCTCCGCCTGTCGCCCATTTTGTATGAAACGGATACCAGTTTTACTACTCTGTATCAATTCGCATCATAGAGCCTGGCAAAGTTTCGAGCGGAGCATAGAGCATCGAATCCGTAGTTATTTAACAATGAGGTAAAGTGTATGTTGTGTAAGCGCAGTAACAGGTGAGCATCGTTCTTAATTAATTCTGTTTAAGCTTATCCAGGCTGCGCCTTATGACCCCTCTACTGTGTTCACCACCTCTAGGGGCGCGTGTTCTTAAGCGACCAGTTACTCTAGGGGGCGTCGTGTTTGACGGCACGGCCTTACTCTAAGGGGGGGGGGGGTCATATTTGCGGACCAATACCTAGGGGGCGCGTGTTTGCGAGCCAATTACTCACGGGCGCTATTTGCGGCCATTACCCTAAGACAGGAGGGGGCGCAAATACGCGCCCCCTAGAGTAATGGTCCGCAAATACGCGCCCCCTAGAGTAATGGTCCGCAAATACGCGCCCCCTAGAGTAATGGTCCGCAAAGACGCGCCCCCTAGAGTAATGGTCCGCAAATACGCGCCCCCTAGAGTAATGGTCCGCTAAACGCGACCCCAAGAGTAATGGTCCGCAAACACGCGCTCCCTAGAGGCATGGTCGGCTAACACGCACCCCCTAGAGTAATGATCCGCAAATACGCGCCCCCTAGAGTCATGATCCGCAAATACGCGCCCCCTAGAGTCATGATCTGCAAACACGCGCTCCCTAGAGGCATGGTCGGCTAACACGCACCGCCTAGTGTAATGATCCGCAAACACGCGCCCCCTAGAGTCATGGTCCGCTAAACGCGACCCCAAGAGTAGTGGTCCGCAAAAATGCGCCCCCTAGAGTAATGGTCCGCAAATACGCGCCCCCTAGAGTAATGGTCCGCAAATACGCGCCCCCTAGAGTAATGGTCCGCAAATACGCGCCCCCTAGAGTAATGGTCCGCAAATACGCGCCCCCTAGAGTAGTGGTCCGCTAACAAGCACCCCCTGGAGTCGCGTGGCCCTTTGTCAACAATGTTGCTTGTAGCTCTACCATAACGATTAGTTACCATGGCCCTGGTCAGCGAATACGCGCCAAGAAGCGTTTCCGGCTTGATATCGTGCTGCTGCGCTTGTCCTGAAGGTTCTGATGGCGATTGGAGGGGAGGCGCAGGGCCAACTGCTCTATACGGTCGAGTGGTACGTGGAGACGCAGCACAGCAGGTGCTGGACAACGGCTATCCACACAACGTGCGGCACGACGCTCAGCACGTCGTCTGCCAGAGCTGGCATGGCGACCGTCAACATAGGCTCCTACGTCTACGTCATAGGTGCAGACGTCAGCGTCATCGTGAAATCCATTACTGCCCGTGCTTGCGTGATTCGTCCGGTGCGTGTGCGTGTGCGCGCGCGCGCGCGCGTGATTGATGTGTGTTGCGTGCGCGGCGTGTGTGTTTGTTGTGTGTGTGTGTGTGTTGTGTGTGTGTGTGTGTGTGTGTGTGTGTGTGTGTGTGCGGGTGTGTGTGTGTGTGTGTGTGTGTGTGTGTGTGTGTGTGTGTGTGTGTGTGTGTGTGTATGTAACGGCAGAGCGCGAAGAACTGACACCGAGTATAATAGCGAGTTGTTTGTAGTGGAATGATAGCGCGCTATCTCGCTGAAGTAGATATATTACAAGATTACATATTAAGAGAAATTCTGACCCAGTTCTTGAGATTAATAACATACCGTTCAGTTTTATAACACACCAATGAATAAAGTCACAATAAACTGCTTTTAACCTACTTCTATTAAAATCATTAAGATGATTACACTTTCATATATATATATATATCGAGTAAGTTCTATAGCTCTTCCAGCTTAAACGGTGTCAATGAGTCAGTTCGTATACTATCGCGCCTATGTCGATGAACCATCGAACAATATTTCAGGAGGCACAGGGCCCCACCAGGCTCTCAAAACCATGGAACGATACAACCTGACAGCAAACTGTTGGGAGGCTTGCAGTTCGCTGCTGTCGGCCCGACACGGAGCCGCGTGCAGTCTCATCGACGGACAGATCTACCTGCTGGGAGGCAGGGATGAGCACAGCCACTACATGAACACAGTGGAGATGTACGACAACCAGAGCGACACATGGATGGAGGCAGCGCCCATGCGGCAACGCAGAAGCTTCTTTGGTGCAGCAAGCTTTGGAGGATATTTGTACGCAGTCGGTGGATCAGGTACGACGTTTATATATTATGAGCAATCACATTCCACTTTACCGAGAGAGAGGTAAACCTGCGTAGCAGTGTCAATGATCCCCCCAATTAATCGAGCCTCGGAGAAACGGATGTCATTGAAAAAATGTTTACGCGCGGTATTTTCATCGGGTAGAGAGATCAGGACTCGATTAAACAATATATTTTTTCCTTTCTTAAAGGCACATTATTGTCCTTTAACTATTTAACTATCCTAAGTTATAAAATTATGCTAAACCTAAACACAAACTGACAACTTTTGGGTTATAGTGAATCCGAACATGGTGGCTCCAACCCTGTCCCGATAAAGCAGGTGACAACGCATTGCAAGTAAAACAGTATAACGTGCGAGTTACAGTTCAGGACTCACACATGATATATAAACATATCAGTATGCTATCAGTCACGAGTAGACGCGTACTGCTTCAACGGTCTTTGCTGCTCCCTTGGCACCGACGCGTAGAGACTCATATACGATTCACACCCCTGTACGATCCATGGTACAGAACATGAAATGAGGCTGAGGAAATGTATATATTCGCGATCGTGTAATAAGGTGTCTCACGTGCATACACGCGAGTAACATGTTCGCATTTTTGACGCGCCCAGGTGGAAATGTTGAGGAAACCAGCGATCGATTTCTGGACACGGTCGAAAGGTACGACCCGTACTCCCGGACATGGACGACGGTCCGTGCGATGAACCATACGCGTTCTTACCACACGGTGGCAACACTAAACGGATACATTTATGCCGTCGGAGGATATAACGGGAAGTGGCTTAACTGCGTTGAAAGGTGCCTGCCAAATTTATTCCTCTTATTCTTAGAAACTTCGTTAGAACCTCATAGGATTTCCGTACCAATAACTAATCAACCGAAATTATCACGCTGCGTTGTCACAGTTGAATTAGTTTCCTTCCATATTATGTTTTCTTATAGCGTATATGTGCGTGGAGAAAATCGCCTATTACTTTCTCATTAACTCAAAATGTTGTCGCAAACACATGTCCACAGGTTTGACCCTCAGATAAACCAGTGGACGATAGTAGCACCATTGCACAGGCCCAGGAGCAGTGCTGCGTTGGTCGTCATGAATAACGCCCTCTACTGTGCTGGAGGTTTCAATGGCAAGCAGTATATGAACTGCATGGAGCGGTACGACCCCGGCACGGACAAGTGGACTGACTGCGCACCGATGTGGAACAGGAGGTATGCGATGGGGCTAGCGGCGGTCACCGTTCCCGTCAAAGAGGAGGCGAAAATGACCGCCCAGCGGGTGCCCGAGCGAAGTTACGGCTGCGTACACGTGGACGGAGCGCATCGGTGAGAGACCGCGACCCTCATCAGGCCTGTAGCATACGGGACTGTGGATATAACCGGCAATGGAACGCAATGAGAAATATCATGCAATGTTTTCGTGTGCCAGTGTTCGTCTAGGTTTGTGCGACCCCGTAAGACTGCTCTAGTGAGCTGACTGCAGTCCAGAGGAATGATAGTAATGAGGTATTTTTTATAGTTGAGAATTGGAAAGACGGCAATTGGTAGAATTGGAGTGGTAGGCATCTATCAGCAAATCCAGTTGCACACCAGGTAACCGTCTTACGGAGGTTCTACTGACTCGATTCTTCTTGATAAAAATCGCAATAATCATAGTATTTTAACATTGAAAGTCACTTAACTTGACAATTAAAGCCGGGTGTTGCAACGCCCGGGTTTGTAAAGCTAGTGGTGACAATGCTGGGTTGTATTTGATCTATTTTCCTGCCGAGTGCAATGGCCTGCCAATGAATACCATGCCAATGCTGACTGTTGCGTAGGCATGTTATAGGCGTTAAATGTGTTCATAGCCCAGCGTCGATATGTAGAGACAAATGATATGAAAACCCAGCTACGTGTAGCATGTTCATTGTACTTTTTTTAACAGGTTTGGTGATCTTGAGTGATTGATTCATAGAACTATTCAGCGTGCATATCTATAGTTATACCGATTAAGTATTCACATTGTTAGGTAATATTGGTTGGTGATAAAATATTTTTCTTTACCTTGACTGATCGATTTTGTGTAATACTACAGAAACATTTGTCTTTGTTTTTGTTTTTCGTTCAATGCACACAACAGACATTGTTTTACTTGGATATTTTGAAAAACACGTGATCACTAGGATCATTAATGGTCTTTTGCCTTGGTCTGCGTACAACCCCCACTGCCAGCCCTCTGACCTTGAGACGAAACATTTGTCTTGATTATCAAACGTTGGATTTTAACGCAAATTATTTTGAGACAAACGTTTTGTATTTTTGGGCAATGCACACAGCTGATTATTGTTGGGAAACGAACGTTTTTGTTGTATTATATAAAGAAATCTGCTGCATGTGTGCATTTGGCTTTGTGAATACAACAGGTGACCTGAAAGTCATCTGTGACATTATATGTTTTCTGTATTTGCAAACATACACATTTGAAAAAAAATATATAGACAAGAACCATTCTTTAAAAGCTATATGCTGATTTAATGTTAGTGGCATTACAATTTACATTAACCAGCAATGTAAACTGAAAATACATGCCTACCTCAGAAAAAGTTGGAGCAATAATCGTAAATATCACTAAGATCATGGACAGAAATTTAGAGTTTCAAATTGCAGTCATAATTTCCACGACATATTTTGGTGACAAATGATCAAGGACCCAAGAAGCCTTCACACGCCTGCAATATCTGGTAAATAAATTATCTAGCTACTATTCATATATTGGTGTAAATGTCAGTGAAATTATGGTCACAGCTGTACCTGCTATGACATAATGCATTGCAATTCTTGAAAAGAATAAAAGTGACTTCTACCACGAGTAACCCCAACTATCTATTGCACACGAGTGTACGGAAAATAATGTAGTAAGATGATAGAGGAACCAATGCTATCCAGGATCTAACTGCAAATATACTTCAGCATGAGACGTTTCAACGTGATGATACCACCTCTTCCACCGTTGACGAACACACATTGTCTCGAAGGCTCCCTCTGTATGTTGCTAAGTGGCATATTCGTGACTTCTATTATCAGTACTGAGACGTGTTTAGGTACTGCCTCCTGAAACAGAAAAAAAACAGCCAGACATTCTTTTCTCACACAACCACGCATTACGTGACACACTTTGCATGGCACTCCTTGCATCCAGGGTTGGATAAATGGGAAAACATTCATAGTGAAGATAGCGGGAGGGAATTGATGTATAGCCACCACTGATATGCCTAACTCTAGTTATAATGCCTTCGTTGCTGTGTATCACTCCACCATGAAGTGGAGCAATGAAAGCTATAGAACGAGAGCTGGTGTATGCCGGCACACAGCTTTGCACGAAAACATTAATCTAGAATGAAAATCGTACATCGTGCAGATGGAAGGTGGCAGCAGTCTACCAGAAGAGAGCAATGCACAGAAGGATGTACAGCAACTGTATCACATAGTACATAAGAAGTGAACAAAGACAAATGTGCCGGAGTTGGCAAAAACACTGTGTTTGGGTAATCTTTCTTCCTCGATGGCTGTTTTTGCCAACAGCAACTAGCAAAGTTCACAACGCTCCTGCAAATTCACAGATGCTGCATTACGTGAAGTACAAAATCACATATCTTTCCACCAGAGTGGCAAAAATCGTTCCGGCAGGTTTGGTCGTCATTGGGTCTTCCGTCACTCACTCCCGGAGTGCTGTTTGGTACCCAGTGGAAAACCCATTGCCAATGCCACGAACGTATCCGGTGCCACGCCCAGCGATTCTGTGAAACATCCTGTCTCCACGAACCTGTATGTGTGTTGAAAACGAACATGACGTCTGAGTTGGACAGCCGCTATGTGGCTCTAGGGTTTGTGTATGATGAAATATTAGTGGTGCAAGCTATCACACCCTTCATTCTCTGTATGCAGTGCATTATTTCGACTCCCAAGAGCTAGGGTAAGCATTGATACTTATGCAAATGAACAAGTACATAAAAAATCTACTTATCCGGGCAATCCAATCGTGAAAAGGAGTCTATCAATATGTCAAAGTGTGAATCACAAATAATGTAAAGCAAGTAATACAATGAACACTGGTGTATGCATTATATATGTCATGGTTCTCAACCCTTTCTGGCCCATTTCCAACATTGCCACTAGTTTATCATTTGGCAGCTAACAATATCATAGAGTTGACTTTCAAGGACTTTTGCTAGGAACTTGTTGTTAAAAGTAATTTTCTACATCGTTTACTATCATTTGGTGTCAATTAATAATGTTAGTTTAACAGAAATGAACTGTCCAATGATGTGGAAATTATGTGTATACACTTATATGCAAAGCAGAGGAAGACCATTCTGCTTTTGGTAATCCCTGACATGGCTCAACCAACACCTTTCCTTATACCCCACATAATCCACCCAAGACTAGCTCATTCTTCCACCACGGGATACACCAGAACCACTAGCACATAGCATGTATGTATGTATGTATGTATATATGTAAATGAAAATGCTATATATAACAAGCAGACCCTATTGCCACCCTACCATGAATCTTTGGGAAACTGCTTTAACTGTAAACACATTTGAACATTTAAACCCAAAGCTGTACACACTCTTAAGGAGACAATACTTGTGTCCTTGCATACTTCGTATGCTTATACAAAATCATGTATAAGTGTTTTTATACATTTATATATTGGCGCTGGAAGATACATCTATAATTGCAGTAAAGATAGATTTCTTTCTAGCAAAAATATATTAATAAAATATTGACCATTACAGTTTAAATTGGGGGTAATTATGTGCGTAACCATTACGTTACAGCATGGTGCTGTCACTTCAACAACTGCATGAGTGGTATAATTGTGGCACGTAGAAGAGATGGAGTTTACCACCAGGTAGCAGCACCTCTCCCAGAGTGGAGCAGAGCAGGGTGGCAATTGGGTTGATGCAGTCAATACCAGGCTGAACACTGTCATTACCACTTTGTCATACTGTGTCTTTATTCTAAATCCTGATAGCAGTTAAAACTGTCCAACCTACTGAAACAACAAAATAACACGATATCACGATCACAGCGAGACTAACATTTGTAAGACCTCAATGATCTTCCCTCATCTACACTCTACACGTATGTTTCTTGTGCACAATTTATTAGCTATTATTATTCCTACATATGCTTCCCTCTGCTCTTGAAATTTAATGTCCAGCAATACCTAAAATAATATGCCTGCCTGTATTCACAAACATGATTTCAACTAATAATAGGACATAAACACAAACGTGATATATCAAACAAGAAGTCGTTTCCTTGCAACTGTTTTGACCTATCTTGGCCTTTACTTTACTCGTCAGTCAGCTTACAAACGATTTAATCACAAGCGAAATTACCTGTTGAATTTGCTCTTAAAGAATCGGTTTCCACAATATAATCTACTATGTAAAGAACTGCAACACTTTAATTAAAACTTGCAAATAATAGTTCACATTTGTAATGTGTCTGCAGCAGGTTAAATTAAACCAGCAGTTAAAAGCACGAAATATTTACTACACAATTCCATTTTAGAACACTTCGAATCTCAATCCATCCAAACACAAAGAAAACGTTTTGTAAATCGGTTTATATGGTACATCTGGCCAGTGATAACTGCTATATTGTGTGTACATGCAAAAAGTATGATCCATAGTACTTACTGAACAGTAGCCATATACCAACAACTGCAGCAGCACACATTTACCATGGTTAATGTCCAACTGCTGCCACCTGTGGCGTGCAGTACAATGCCGAAACCTGAATAAAAGTTAACTATGCCCAATTACTCTAGCATTTGAAACCCCAAAATATTACAGAAAACTTGGGATGACTGATGTACAGAGGTCTCAACATCCAGTCACTCTGAAACATTATTACACCTAGTTCTTATAAGGAACTAGTGACATGGTATTCTTATGACATATTGCAATTTTTTTTAAACACTTCTGGAATGTTTCAATCATGTGCTAGCACTCCTTAGGAGATAAACGACAAATTCATTCTGAAGCCAATATCTGCACTCTCATACACGTGCTGACAAAATAACTGTACTCTGATAATCATAAATAACTGGATTCAACAAAATTACTCAATACCTCATTGCGATACAATAACACACTTTCCTAATACGGTAATTTGCACAAACGAGCTATAAGAAATTCACCCAGAAGCACTGGTATGTGGAGGCAAAACTACAACTGTGTAAAACAACATAGGTACCCACAGGTATGACCTTAGTAGGCAGGTTAACAACCGCCCCAACACCGAGTGTGCTTACAGGTGTTAATGGTTGGTCAATATAGATGCATTTTGCAGCACAGATCCCTTTGGTATGAATACTTATCTCGCGTATTTCTTCCCGTTCCACCAATGCAGTTGCTGCTTTGGAGAAGCAGTGGGAGAGCTTTTACTGAAAAGGCAAAAAGCATACATTCCAATTTACACGTTATTCTTCATTACAATAGACTGCCAGGGTTCTCCAAGAGCACTTATAGCCTGGCGGCCCGCCAGGCTATCGTCGAGCCCCGCCATCCTAAAATGCACCCGCCACTCTAAATATCATAGCCGCCATGCTAAATATCATAGCCCCCGGACCCCCCTAGCACGCAAACCGCTTTCGGCGATTTGCAACTAGGACCGTAGAAGCAGCACCCGCCATGCTATAATGAAAAAGCTTGGAGAACCCTGACTGCATACATGTTCCATACTTATCAGGCGCCTAGAGCATAACACATGCACACTTCACACTCTCACTGACCGGCTAGTAGCTCTCATGTTCATTATCACATCCATCCATAGGTACTTCATACCATTCCTACCTGACAGGCCTAGAAGTACCAGAAAGCCATTTCCTAACCCCTCTGCTCAACCAGCGAGGAACCAGCAATGCTAAGAGGTAGTGGGCAACTGCTGGAGAATATTTCCCTGCCTCTCCAACATGCTATCAGCAGAACGTTACGACTAGTGGGGACTGATATGGAAGTCAGGGTGGAGAGCAACCGGCGAACGGATCCATTTACACCAGCACCTGGCCATTCTCCATCCCCACCCAGCACAGCCCCCATGTACACACAGCAGGCAGCACACTATATCTTCTCCTGTATGAACGGATGCTTGAGGCAGTCGTTGAGTGAGAGTCGCTTGCTAGGGTCGAGCATCATCATCTTCTCTAGCAGGTTGCGCAGCTGCGTGACCTTGCGCAGCTGGTCCTCAGGCAAACGCTGGAAGCCAATGAGATCAGCGAGGAGGTCCTTGGTCGGGTTGATCGTGCTCATCACGGTCACCTTCTCCTGCAAGCACGAGAACAAAGCACACAACCATGTTACTATCTCCTACAAGCATGATAGCCAGGCACTAACACACAGAAAAATGCAAGCACGTTCGCACGCATGCAAGCACGCACACGTCACCATCTATTGCACGCATGGTAACCAGCCATTAACATATATAGGAAACCTTCTTCTCCAAGTATGGGTACCAAGAATTGACACCACAGCATGCATGCACGCACGCACGAAAACACACAGATATGCCACCATAGTCTGCAAGCATGAGAACAAAGGCTGTTTTAATGCAAATACAGGACTACGTATTGTCTTACCCGCTCTGTCACTTTATCCACCTCTCGGTAGAGGAAGTTGAAGTTGTTATCAAAGTGCTGGTCACGAAATGCTCCTTTCTTGATCATGCGGTTGGGCATCTTGCCCTTCCAGTCCATCATCAATTTTAACATTTGGTTGTTGGACTTGCCTGGGAACATGATCTTACCCGTGTACAGCTCATAAATGGTTACCCCGGCACTCCACAGGTCAATGCCAAAGTCGTAGGATTTACCAATTACTGTAAAAACAAAAACCTCAAATGAACAAACAGACAAGGCTTCCTAATAGTTTACACCTGCATATAGGAATGTAAAATATTAGATGCTTAAAGGCACATGGCTTCTGAGCACTTGATAATAGCATAGCTAACCCAAAGATTTACAAGGTAGGTTGTGATATGCACAGCCCTTTGCTTTATTTGTAATCGATGACATAATAAATTTTTCGAGTTATTTTTTGTCTACAATATAGCTTGCAACATCAGCAAGCTATATAAAAGCACAAGTAGCTACAATAAAGCTTAATATCTCAAATTGCTGACTGGCTGTTATTAAAAATTCACAAAATTATTATAAAAATATAGATAATGAAATTTTAGGTGAGTCGCTCGTTTTAAGATTACCTTTGCAATCGCCAGATTTTTAACAAAGCTAGATAAGAAATCAATAACAATTAGCTACATTACTTCTGGAAATGGCAAGGACCAACATTTAAACTCTTGACAATCTCAAAAGACGCTTGCCAGCTACTCTTTAGACATAGAGGGTAGAGTACATTCTTGCCTCTTAATATCAATTAATAACACTAGCAGCTCACTGTCGAGTACTTATGAGGACTATTAGCCAATGTCCTAAAATTGACCAGAAACTATTTTCACATTGTCATTGAGTAGTCCTTTAGTTTTTCAGCTACGATAAACAATGAACGTAGGTGAAGCCAGTCGCACTTTAGTCTCTATGCCACGACGTTAAAGTGAAGGTCAAACAGCACGATTTAACTCCTCGACTGTAAGTATAAAACCAACAAGATTTACGTACATTATATAAATGTAACTAATTTCAATATATTGCTATTATTTTTATATATTTTTTGTATATATGCTAAAAATAAGATGACTCACTAATTTCTGGTGCTCGGTAGAACCTGCTCACTAGGTAGGGAGTGATTTCATTTTCCACAACAAAGGATGCAGAGCCGAAGTCACATAGCTTCAGTACAAGCTTGGAGTCATTCACCTGCCCCACAAAAATCATGTTTTTAGAAATATAAACAGAATTTTCATGATGCATTCAAATATTCTTAATAATATGGTTTTAGTGATGACAGTGGAAGTGGCTGAATGGCACATTAGTGGATTTAGCTATAGAATTGCTACTGACAGATTTTGAGTTGTACGAAAACTATTCTAAAACTTTAGACAATTTCCCTCTACTTTCAGTAACTTTGGTGGGCAGGTAACCAGTATTTATGTACAGATTACATGGTTAAATTATTAGAAGAGTTATAAAATGAAGAAAACGACAACTAAAAATGCAGCCTTCTTTACTGATATGTCTGTGGAATATATGGCACAGTCGTGATGGATAATGAAGCACTTAAGGCACGAGTTTAAAAAATGTTTTGATAAAAATACTACTGGCACATATTGCCTCGCTGGGATGGAGAGGCAGCACTCACCAGCACGTTGTCAGGTTTGATGTCAGCGTGGATGATGTTGCACCGCTTCATCAGCTTGAGGGCGAGCAGCAGCTGTTGTGTGTATGAGCGCACTGCCTTGATGTGTAGGCCCACGTCTTTGCCATACTTCTTTAGCACCTCCCTCAGGTTCATGCTAACAACAGTAAAACGGGAACACTGTAGCGTTTCCTCTGAGTAAAATCATGAGTGAGGTGGCAGGGTTAAATGAGTGCCACAGGTGCGGAACAGTGTGGGGAGGGGGCACATGCCTGCGGTGCTCATCAGCAAAGCAGCCCACCTCATATACCAAAGGAAACGCTGCACTTTACCATGTCTGTACTTCCACTATTGCACAATTTACGAGTTTAGTCTGTGTTTTAACTGTTTATTCCAGTCCATAGTGATAGTGTAACAGGCGAGAGGTGGTACCGGTGTCGAAATAAAGATGATCGTGGGAATGAAATAGGCAGCTTCCATGAGATGCATATCACTATCAGAGTGTTGCCCATAGGAAGAAAGCATGCAGCCTTACCTAAGACGTATGCCAGAATGCAGTCCATAAGAAGAAAGCATACAGCCTTACCTGAGAGACTCGAACACAAGACAGAGGTGGTTCTTGTGTGAGAAGTTGCGATGCAGTCGCAGACAGTGGAAGCGGTCATCTGGGTCGGCATCGTTGAGGCGTTTCAGCAGCTCCAGCTCCTTGATGCCGGTCTTGTGCCTAATGACAACATAACCATTAACCTGATATTACCTACATCTACTCTTAAAGTTAAACTATCATGGTCATTACACAGGTAATTGTCTTTGTGTCATAGACATTTCCTTCATGAGTGAGTGATACATGTCCCTGTCATTTACTATACCTGCATCAAAACGTTGCTCGCTATCTAATACAATGCAATCACCAAAATAATCAATGAAATTGTACATCACTGACGTGACATTACTCGCCATGTATGAATGGGGTTTCCTATATTCAGTGATATAGGCTGACTCCTCTGGACCCACTACAATTTACCCAATTTCCTCCAAAAGGTGTACCAGTGTGCCAAACTCTACCCTGATTAAAATAATGAGTTAACTCTGAGCTTACATGATGTCATTGTTGCGAATGATCTTGATGGCAACATCCATGGTGCCACGTGCCTGATCCCTGGCACGCACTACGTTACTGAACACACCTTGACCAGTGAAGCCATACACAGCATAACGTGAGTCCAGCATCTCTCCTATCCGCACTCCTGTAATGTGCAGAGGATGTGTGTGCAACAAATACTTGCAATTATACATGTGGTCATGCTACACAAATCAAATTCCCAAGGCATTCTTTGAATTCTATCCACACCCACCAGCAGGTATTGCACTATTAACCTAACACAACGTGCCAAACTGTGTATAAAGAAATTATTATATTTATTATTGCAGGTACCCATTTTCTACTACTCAATAGCTTGAAACCAGATGAATGTCAACTAAGCCAATGATCAAAACAAATTGAAAATATCTATACCTAATATCAAGAGCCCATAATAGAGAAGAGTATGACACTGTTTTAACAGCGTTTTGCATAGTTTTCGACTTGAATTTATTCTATCACTATGTGAATAAATATATTCAAACTTTACCTTGTTTTGTTCTCTGATTCTCCCTTAGTCATATGACACCACCAGTTTACCTGAAAATCGTATGTGTTCTGCAAAAAAGTTCTTTGAATACGACACGGTGTCACACAATATTCCCCACAATTTGCATGACATGAAGCAGTTTCTCACGGCGGCGGCACCAGATTTGTTACTACGGGACGCTGGGGGCTGTTGGGGATATTAGGCATCGAATTGTATGCAAGCTTAGTAAGCGTGTTTCCAGCATGCTAAAAATAAATGTGTGCTCACGGCGAGCTAGCTGCAGATTTTAGCTGTGTTGCCATGTTTTGTTCGGCGAGAAGCGAAACAAGTGCTGTTACTGTGTTTACCTAATATCCCCCACAGCCCCAGCGTCCCGTAGTAACATATCTGGTGCTGCCCTGCTAGAAACTTTGCTTCATGTCATGTAAATCGTGGGGAATATTGTGTGAAACCGTGTCGTATTCAAAGAACTTTTTTGAAGAACACATACGATTTTCAGGTAAACTGGTGGTGTCACATGACTAAGGGAGAATCAGAGAACAAAACAAGGTAAAGTTTGAATATATTTATTCACATATTGATGGAACAAATTCAAGTTGAACACTATGCAAAAGGATGTTAAAACAGTGTCATACTCTGCTCTATTATGGACTGTTGCTAATATCGACAGATAATCATAGTTCTATTATCATACGCCAGACGGAAGGAGAAGAAGGGGAAGACCCAAGGAAACTTGTCACTGCATTATGTGCCATCTAGTCACCTACAGGGATAACTAAAACTAACTATTATCATACTAATTGAAAATATAAGTTTTGCTCGATATCAATTGACATAATCATAATAAATTTATCCCTATATATCAGTACCGTTGCATAAAGGACTAAAACCGAGTCACAGATATTTGTGAACACTGCTGGGGCGGTTTGTTATGAATATTTTGATCAACATAAATAAGCAGAACAGACAAATCTAAAATATTTATACCTAATTTTGACAGATAACTATAGTACTGTTTATAGTAATTGCTGCATGGCAACGTTGTTTGTGGTCGATTTCGTACAGACTTCTACTATTTATGCAACTGCTTTACAACAATAACTGTATGGTCCGTAGCATGCATGCAATGCCCAAAGCTCAACGCAGATTACCAAAACTACGTCACAATTAGGCCTATCCCTCTTTCAAATCGAATTGTGTTTCATTGATTTTACTGGATTTATTATTGCTTCAAATGTTACAAAATACAACTTTTTGATGATAAAATGCCTCAAGGTAAGTAATAATATGGTGAAATATTACCGTTTGGTGTATTTATTGACAAATGTGCATCTTTGGGTTCACATAGGCATTACAAAATACACATAAAGACAAAAAATCAAATGTTTAAGGAAAGACATGTCGATGAATATAATTAGTTATGAAATCTCAAAAGCTCGATTAATAAAAACCTACTAAACTCGACTAATAGGTTTCTTAGCTGCAAAACATTCACGTTACCGAATATGCATTCTCGTACATATGCTGTGAAAGTTGGGAACATTAGGAAATTGTGACAACTTACTGTAGTAGCCCTCTGCATCGTCCCAGTTATCTGTTAGACTGGGATTCTCGGAGCCTCGCATATGCTTCGCTGCTACTGTCGCAGGACTCTATTTAAAGGAAAAGTTCTCATTAAGTAAACATTCTTAACCAACTAAAATCACACACACACACGCACAAATCAATACCTAACTTTATAATATGTATAACAATATCGTTACATACATAAATATTGACATGGAAACTGACCATTCATATGTGAATATCCTATATTATTATTTAACTCATAATGTTCAGTGATAGATGGCTTTAACAACTTTGGTTAACAATTACCACTTTACCTCATAATTTTCGCCAAACATGTCTGTGTCAGCGGCAAAAACCGTTGTCAACGGTTTCGCTTTTTCTGTTCCTATAAATATAATATATCACTGTTAGAACAATTCATTATATCTCACAAAATGTATGTACTTGTTATCACCTAAATAATGAAAGTGTCAATGACACTGTAGCTCACCTTGGGTGTGATAGAAGAGGGAGGGGGTATATATAAAGCAAGAGTATATATGGGAGAACTTATATAGCATATCTCCCATTATATACTCTTGATAATGATACGCATGAATCAAGTTTTGATGCGAAAATAAATGTTTCAGATCTGAAAGTCTGAAATCTTGACGAGAGATGGCGCTACGCCTAAATGATCGCCATTTTGGTTTTCGAATATCGCGCAAATAAAAACAATAAAATATTCCAGTCAAATAACTGTAACGAAGAATCTAAAACACAATATTACACGTATATAGGTATTATTGTAGAGTTGTTGACCAGTTAGACGAAATAAACGTAATAGGACGTTGTCATCTCTCCCATAGGAGTAACAACTGTTTGGGGGCTAGCCTTACACATTCACATACCAAAATTTAACAAAATCAAAGAATTTAGATGGCCATTTTCATTTTTGCCAAAAAGTGGGCGTGGCTCGAAAGTAGGTCGACTGCCGTGCTCCAAAATAGGACGTTCAAATCTCTCCCATAGGAGTAACAACTGCATGCAATTTGAAACATGTGGGTCAAACGGTTCTTGAGTTATCGTTGACCGTAGCCAAATGTTGACGGACGGACGGACGGACGGACGTACGACACCCCATGGCAATAGCTCATCTTGACAATGTCAAGGCGAGCTAAAAATGGAATGTTTTTAATAGGGTTTGGCTCAAGTTGGCCTTGCCTGGATCCCATCTACAATAGAATGGCAAAGAATCAGGCTTCCTATACTTTATTCTGTCTGGGAAATTAAGCATAAAATGAAGCACTTTATACAGGGAATTCAATTCGAAACTGTTTTAAGGCAGAGCCCTGATCAAACAGTGATCTGCACTACACAAGAATATGACATGATTCACACGAACTAATCATATCATCATGAGTAATATGGTAATCATTCACGGAATTACCACAGCATCAAGAATTATAAACCACACATACCTTCCTCCTCGCCTTCCTCGATGTTCTTTATCTTGTCATAGCGCGACGCTTCAAAGTCGTACTCCTTCTGGTCATCGATGTCACGTTTAAGATCCTCCTCCACCTCACGAGCCAAATCCACCTAGAAAACATGTGCACTACTATATCCACATGACTTAACCCATGCCACACCACCCTATAAATTATACACCGATTACAATTTTGCGTTTTGTTTATGTTTACCGTTGCCATCTCTCGGACTTTCTCGTGGTAGCGCGAGACATCTATCACGGTGCAGTAATGCAGAAATCAGGTCAGAGTGTAAACACAGACGTTCATACTAGCGTAACAGGAATGTAGTACTAATGCCGCGTAAAGTCTGTTATTAGAGGAAGCTTGTGGATTACCAGTCAGATAGTAACACGGGAATGACAATGACAGAGTGCTCTGAATTATTGACATAAAAACTCAATAATATTTACCACACAGAATTGCACGCCCTTTTGTTTTAATTATGCACTTGGTTTGAAGGCGCCATTTGTGATTTTGAGAGTCGGCATACGATAAAATTTATTGCTGGTATGATGTGGTCAAATCCATTTTTCTATGCTATAACTGCATAAAATCTTAGTGTTTTTAATGTTGGTGTAATCAGTGATATTTCTGCTGTCATGTGAGACTATATTTAGCTATATTTAGTTTTTCTGAGCAAAAATCTCGCAATAGTAAGTTTAAGCTGCTGCATTTTACTAGCACAGCTACTGAATAGATGGAGGCTGCTTACTGAATTAGGACTGCTTGACCTGGAGTCATGCTCATGGGAAGTTCCTCTCGAGTTATCACGAGTTTCATCGTCAGAGAGCGCCGATGCATTGCTATTACTCTCTGAATATGGCTGTTCCACTGTCAGTGCTGGTTCCAATTTCTACACAACAAAATAACAAATTCATACTGTGCCCTATAGGAAATCAAGTCAGAACAGAAAGTTATGACAATATAATTGCACACACGCACGCACACACGCATGCAGACACACATGGCATTCAATAACCCACATTTTGAAACCAGTTGGGGCAGCAGTGGAGCGCCGCAGCCGTCTAGGCCTCTTCTTTACACATATACTTTATATACAATATAGTATCTCAAGCTAGTGAAGGGATGGAAAAGATTAGTTATTGTACTTAACCATTTAAATATCACCTCACAAAACATAATATGAAGAGTACATAATAGAGATTATGTCTATTATACTACTCTACATCTCTATTATGTACTCTTGATAATATGTATGTATACATATATATTTTAACCCACATATAGTATATATCATAGCATCTGCTAGTTATAGTTTATAGTTTCTTGCTGCTTATTTACTTTATCAATGTTGGTAATTAGCACAGTTGCAATTATTTATTTGATAAAATACTCAAAATTTCCCAAATTTTTCAGATGTTTCTTCCAGTTCCTGGGCTCATCCATATTGACTATCACATGACATACAGAGCCCAGTTGAAAAAAGTTTTAGAACCTGACATGTGACATACATACCAAGCATAACAATCTTTTACATAACACCATAACGAAAACTTAGCTACTAAATATTTTCTATGCAAAAATAACTTATGCTACACAAAATACACTTTGCTTACTGTTTCAAATTTTATATAGTGCCTTGAATACAGTATTGTAATCAGTGCAAACCGTGCCAGACGCTATGAAATTAAAAACCAATATTGCCTGCTCAAAATAAATGTTGCCCACTGATTGGTATTACCACCTGACCCCACCAAAAATGTCCCCGTGATACGTAGAAAAAAGATTTGAACTAGTGGATGAGGATAGCATATCAGATGTAGTAAAAGATATAAAGGTAAACTCACGCTCATCAAATTCAAATGCCAAATTTCAAAGATTCTCCTTAAACCTTACGCTCCTTTAACCTAGAATAATTTACTCATTGTTTTACATATAAATTTGTGTACTACATTGTATATCATTTTGTATATTTTGAAATCCTGAAATGCATGAGTAACTAGGGTCAATAGTTTACGATTTTATACACGCACCATTAATTTACTTTAACTTAAAATTTAATTCACCTTCAACAGTGCCTCCCTCTGTTGACGCCTCCTCTCAATAATTGCCTCTTCATCTTCATCTTCATCGGGGATTTCTATGTCTAAAACTCTGTGAACAGAAAAGTGCATTTAATAGTGTGCATGGCATTGTTAACAGCCAATCAAACATTTCACTTCCTTCTCAGTACGATGACTGTATGTGTGACCGTGTCATTAGTAGGGGTGGAACGACATAGGCAGCACACAATACGATTCTGTATCACAACACAACCTATGCGATATGATACATCTCGCAATACTTTCAAAAGAAAACTAACTAGAATACAAAACACTCAACTGTGACTCTAACAATCAATCATGTAAAACGCTTACAAATCAGTGTCTTAGAGTGCTTAGTAAACAACTGCTATGGAATTATGAATCGTGTTATGTAGGGCTGTAACGATACACTCGCGTATTCGGTGCACCGAATATTGTTGTTGGACGATACGTATTCGTTATTCACGTCGTCATTATTCGAATACTGACGAATACAAATAATAAAAATGGAACCTACTTTTAAATCTTCTTTAAACTGCAATTCTACGCCGATTTGCTCGAATTCTGAATGTCGTTTGCAGCTTTCCCCGTGAACTCAGCTAGACTGGTACCCGTCCCTTCTCGCACGTCGAGAAGGCTGGGACGTGTATCTTACTATCACGTGTTACTCACCCCATATCGAGCGTGTGAGAAGGGACGGATACTAGGGTTGCAGCGGTATACCGGCATTGCAATATTATCGTGGTGTAATATTTTAGAATTTTCATACCGTAACCAGCTCAATACTGCGCTTTTCTTGTTGACATGTGATATACACGTGTACAGTGACGTCACAAAAATCTGAGACAGCCATGTTGCGTTTTTCCAGCCATGTGCACGGCAGCGGCACCTTTGATTGAAGTACAGAAGGCTCGATCAATCGCGAGCGCGTTTCGCTAACGTCTGCTAAAAGTTGTTCGTTAACGGACGAAAGTTGTCTGGAGGCATTAGCGGACAACACACACACACACACACACACACGCACGCACACACACCTACGCGCACGCGCACACACACATGCACACACACACACGCGCGCAAACACACGTACGCGCACACGCGCACGCGCACACACACACACGACATTACACATTTACAGCATCAACAAGTGAGTATTCGAATTCGTGAAATATTCATATTCGCATGCATATATCGTGATACGTATTGTATTTGTGACCTAGTGTATTCGTTACAGCCCTAGTCTTGTGTTTCTTTTGCTTTTGGATGCAACTATGTTACTAAATGATATATGGATTTTAGTTAGTAGAGTATTGACATGTGTATCATGAATGGTCAAACGTATCGATGCGTGCGAACGTTATATTATGACTGATGGCGTTGACCGTAGGCAGACACTGAAATGCATAATGAAATTGCCAAAATCTACCTAATTTGCATAATTAAAAAAATAAATAAAAACCCGTGTGATATGTTTTAGGGCCAGTCCTTATTCATTCACATACCAGAATTGAGCAAAATCTGTTGAACCTGAACTGACTTATGGCCATTTCCATTTTTGCCAAAAAGTGGACGTCGCACGAAAGTAGGTCGACTGGCGTGCTCCAAAATAGGACGTTCAAACCTCTCCCATAGGAGTAACAACTATATGCAATTTGAAATATGTGGGTCTAACGGTTCTTGAGTTATCGTTGACAGTAGGCAGACACTGAAATGCATAGGGGAATTGCCGAAATCTACCTAATTTGCATAATTTAAAAAAAATATCAAAACCTGTGTGATATGTTTTGGGGCAAGTCCTTATTCATTCACATACCAGAAATGAGCAAAATCTGTTGAACCTGAACTGACTTATGGCCATTTCCATTTTTGCGAAAATGTTGACGTGGCTCCAAAGTAGGTTGACTGGCGTGCTCCAAAATAGGACATTCAAACCTCTCCCATAGGAGTAACAACTATATGCAATTTGAAACATGTGGGTCAAACGGTTCCTGAGTTATCGTTGACCGTAGCCAAATGTTGACAGACAAACGGACGGACGGACGGACGACACCCCATGGCAATAGCTCATCTTGACGATGTCAAAGTGAGCTAAAAATGCATAACTTCCCATAATTTGCTGAGCAAACTCAAAACGTGGCTACTTACTCATCATCTGAGCTGGCATCCGCTTTCTTCATGCCCTCAGAAAGGCTACCCTTGAATATATCAACAGGTGATCTTGACCTTCGCCTGTCCCTAGACCGACTCCGACTTCGTCTCCAATGTCTGTAAGTTACACCAGTATGGCTATTAAACAAGAATGTTTTAACCATAAATGAGTTTATAAACGTATTTCTAAAACATACGAGCTCACAGATAAGATATAGTATTATATTATTATTTTCAATAGAGCAACAAGATAACTTAACGGTAAACCTCAAACTGTAGGTGGAGAGTCACTTGAGTATGTTTATTATTAAATAAACACAGGCAGTGATTATCAAGCACAATGAAAGAACAATAGTTTTTTTATTATTATTGTACTGGATATATGACCTTCCTCTCATCATATGTGGTCTTCCTAGTCTATCCATATCTCTCCCTCTTCTTTGATGTGGTGACCTCTCTCTTGACATCCTGCAGATAACAACATCAAAGTAGTTGATACGGTCACAGAAACAGTCATTTTTTAGTTTAGATAGCATCAAAGTAGGATCTGTCTGACACGGTTAACAATTTTACACACACATTTTCAAGTTGGCATGAGCGCCATTTTATAGACCTGTAGACGGCTAATTACTGCTCAAAGACTTGGTTTTCGATATATTAAATGACCACTAACTTAAGTTAAAGTGATAAAATATGATGGTGTTCAATCAACTAATTCTAAACCAAATTTTGTTTTAAACTCTCATTTTCAATAATGAAGTAACCCATAATAACTACTTCTTTTTTGTTTGTAAAAATAAACACATTACCTTCTTCTCATCGGTAAAGGACTCCTTCGCTTCGCCGGAGACAACCTCTTCCTCGGAGACCTACTCCTCCGCGCCGGAGAGCGAGGTGGAGAGGGTCGTGGCTTCACTTCCCTTCTTGGTGACCGGCTCTTCTGCTTCCTGGATATTTCCTCTCTTCTAGGGGACCGGCTTTTCAAGACGGACTCCTTCCTCGGGGAGCGGCTCCTCTTCTGGAAACGTTCCCTCTTTGGAGATCGACTCTTCCTCTTTGTGGTATCCTTCCTCGGGGACCGACTCTTCCTCCTCGGAGACCTGCTGCGCCCGCGTCTGCTGGCACTTGTTGACTGCCTCTCCTTTGACAGCGGCTCCTTCCTCTTTGGCGAATGGCTGCTCCGGTCATCGATGAGAATCACCTCGGGTTTCTGCCATGAGGTGGCGCCCTCACCGCTTGGCGATTGATTCTCCTTGTGGTTCTCCGGCGTCTGTGGCTCCTCGACGAATCGCCGTGGCTCTACACCTGACCCGCCGACCTTCCTGTCTCTCAACCCCTCCGCTCGCCGATGTTTCGACACGGACGACGGTGGTGCCACCTCGTGGGGCGTCGACCGCCGGCGTTGCGGCGAAGTCGGCAGTGATGTGTGGTCGTGCTGCTCCAGCAGCTGATCGACATAATCCAACACGTCGGAGTTGTCCTCCCCCTCTGCCGCGCAGCCGCCGTCCGAGATCACCTCGACGTCGTCCGAATCCGGCGCCCCCTGGGGGTGGTCATCGGCGAGCGTCACGATGTCGTGGCAGGCACGCGGCGGACGGTCGAGCTCTCCCTCCTCGTCGTCGGATGCCGAGCCGTAGTCGTGCGCGATCATGCCGATACTAGTGCCGGCGAGCTGCGCCTGCAGCAGCGCCTTCTGCTGCTCCAGCAGCTCAAGGTTCGGCTCTTGCTCGCCGACCTCTGACCCCTCGTCGATGCGCAGCCTCTTCGGCGACACGTCGTCCGGCGACCGCTCGCTCTTGTGCCGCTTCTGCTTGTGCTTGTGGCGGTGTCTCCTGTCCGGTTTCTCTCTCTCAGACGTGCGGTGCTTGTGATGGCTTTTGTGCTTGTGCTTGTGCTTCTTAGCCTTTTTCTTGCTGTGCCTGCCCTCATATTTGTCTTTGTCCGACTTGTCGTAGCGAGCAGGCGCTGACATCGACTCACTTGATATGCTTGATATAGGAAGAAACACAAATCATTAGGCACTTTATACATGGTGGAAACCAAAATGTCAACTTTGTCGCAACAAAACCATTTAGCGTTTTTGTTCCTTTTCAATTATGATTAAACCAGGCTTTAATTAGAAATATTATAATAGTAGGAATTTAAAGAGTGCACTTATCTGTATGGATATATGCCCACTCAGAGCCACTCATGGCATTGTTTAATGATTGTTACTAAGAAATAGCAAAATTTATGGAATAATGCCCATGAAAATTTTTATCAAATTTTTATCAAAATTCTTATCAAAATTTTACTAATTTTAAATGTGAGGTGTTGGGTGAAACAGCCATTTGTGGACACACAGCATGGAAAAAAGAAACATGCAGTGCCCAGGGCACGAAATTCAGCTTGTTTTGCACCGGCCCAAAGGGCTGGTAACAGGCTCACCATAATTTACCAGCCCTCAAAAATTTTGTTTGTAACATCAATGTCATGTTGCGTCATGTCATGTCGCTGTCATGTCATGCCAACATCACCTTGCCAATCATCATTGGCATGTTTCATGCTGTAAAATGTTTATAAATGATGGCATGATATTCTTCAGGTAAAACAGAACATGAAATTTCTATCGACAAAACACGCTAGTTCACAGGAACTTCACTCTTTGGAATAAGGCTATAGTAGACTTAAAGGATGAAAAAATATGTAAAATATCTTTACTTATAGTTTGGTGCAATTCTGAACAGATTTTATTTGCTACCGTACTGTCAGCTATGTAAACATTATAGCATCGTGATAATACTGTGATGGAAATGTTAGTAATGTATTAGATGACTTAGCACTGAAATGCAGTCATCTGTTGCTCATCCAGACCATAAAAACATACACATACACTGTTTCCCCTGGCCAAAAAGGTCAGCAAGGTGGTAAAATTTATTTTGGTGGTTGCGCTATCCGAGGGACCGAGGAGCGAGCAATGCGAGCACCGAAGGTGCACGCGACACTAGGGGGATCCGGGGGCATGCTCTCCTGGGAAATTAAAAAAAAGGTGCAATTTGGTGCATTCTAAGCTATTCTGAACACATTATATGAGACTCTTGAATTACTTTTTCAAGTTGTCAAAAGGAACAAATAAACTATGAATATGAAATGATACACGTATTCACATTAAATAGTAATACCGTCGGAAACGATGGCGAATGCCTTGTGAGCGTGGCAAAGAATCTTGACAAGCTTCGTTATATTTATCTTCTGTGTATGAAATGATCTATGTGAATTTGAAGTTCATTACATTTGACAAGAGCCGCCAGAGCGTCTGGGCTCATCTGAGGTCTGTTGCTACGATTTAAAACGTAAATTTCAGTCGTGGTCAGATACCACATTTGTTAGGCGCAGATATGCAGAACACCAGTTGCAACATCATTGTTAGGACACGCCCACTATCGCGGCTCGGTGGGGGGTGGGGGAAGGGGGGGGGAGGGGGTGGGGGAGGGGAAGGGTGAGGGTGGGGGGAAGGGGCCTAATAGCAAAAAGCAGTTCCACTCTTTGTTAACAGTCAACAAATCCATGTTTAACCCTCCTCTTGAGAGCCAAAGGTTATCGGCAATTACTCCTTCAACTGTCAGCGTGGAAGCACATTTCATGTCCTTTCAATAAAGCCATAAAATGGTAGGTCACCGCTGAAACAAAAAAGGTTCAATTGCTGCGTCAGACCATTCCTCAGAAATGTCTAAAATCTGCCTGTGCCATTGACCTTTGACTGTGACCTCCAATTTCGGCACAGTGATGGCTTTTCCCTACCATGATCGCTATCACACCGACTATCACAAGCCTCGGTCGAGCCGTTTAGATTTGTGCGCAATTCTGCATTTCCTCCCTATACTAGTTAAGTTGAGTGAATTGTTCCCACCTATTTTACACCTCCTTGACCTTTGACCTTTGCACCCCAGCTTCCACATCCCAACTCGTTTTCGGATCACCCCCCCCCCCCCCCCACGTCCCGAATATCGTGACCGTACGTCGAGCGGTTAAGATTTGTGCCCAACTGTTGACGGAGCACGACGGACGACGGCGACGCGACGCGACGGACGACATGCGATTTACAAGCTGCATCTGACTATGTCAGATGAGCTAAAAATACATAATCAACGAAGATTAAATGAAAGTGTCAATGCACCTGAGCTCACCACAAAAAGGACACAAATGAGTGAGTGAGAAGAAGTCAGTTTAATTGAGCAACCATGACCGTACATTATAGAAAACGAAGAGTATATATCGGAGAACTCCATTATATACTTTGATTTATGTGTAATTTTTTATGTGAAAATAATAAATAATATTTATAAATAAATTATAAATAATTTATAAACAACAAGTGCCGGCGAGCGACAGTGCTCATCTAACGTCTACTGCGGTGACTCTGTGGTGGAGTCGTGGGATTCTAAGTAACCCTGTTAGTCCAAATGTGTTCACATACACGCCGGAAACAGTGGAATGCACAGGGATGGTATCAGGAACCTTCTCAAAGGAATGTTCGTTGGGATCGTTATGAAAGTTGGCACAAGATGGCGCGTACGTTTAAGTGTTTCAGATTAAAGGATGAAGCTCCCATCGTTACGTAGTAGCAACAACTATTTGCAAGACAGAATAGGTAAGCACTCATCCATTTACCTTACGCAAGCCTACAGGCTGCAATAGAGAAGCGGCACCTGTAACAATTAACGCAGCAAAAACTACACAGTACTAACACACATGCACTGGCAGTAGCCACTGGCAGTGGCATACGTTACATGTAACATACTGACAGTACAGAATGCCATAGAATTATACGATTTAAGGCAGCATAACCTTCTTTAACCAAATTTAGCTTTGAAATTTCACTCTGACATTGTAGCCTCATCATCCAGGCGCTTATAGATTCTCACTAGCAAACCCGGCAGTCAAATTCTTTCTAACAGACAGTCAACAAATCCAGTTTTAACCTCCTCTGAGCGGGCAAAAGGTTATCCGACATTCTCGGCTTCGCTATGTTCAGCAGACGGATATTTTCATGTCCTTTCAATAAAGCCATAAAAATGCATAGGTCACCGCTTGAAACAAAAAGTTTTTCAATCACTCCGTAGACCAGTCACTCAGAAAATGTCTAAAATCTTGCCTGTGCCATTGACCTTTGACCTGTGGACCTCCACAGTTCGGCACAAGTGATGGCTTTTCCTACCATTGGATTGCTATACCCACTATCACGAGCTACGGTCGAGCCGGTGTAGATTTGTGCCGCAATATCTGCATTTCCTCCCTTTACCTTAAGTTAAGAGTGAATGTTCCCTTCTTTTACACACCTCTTGGACCTTCTGCCTTTGACCCCAGCTTCGACATCCAATCGTATTGCGAATCCCCCTCATGTGCCGAATACGTGACCGTACGTCGACTGCGGTTGAGATTTTGTGCCCAAATGATGACGAGGACGGACGACGGACGACAAATCATTTGGCGATTCTACAAGCTGCATCTGAACTATGTCAGATGAGCTGAAGATGAATCACAATTCCTGTGCGGTAGATGCGCGCTGATACCACTTGGAGTTTCTTAGCATAAATCATTCATATCATTAAATATAATTATATAATAATAATAGTATTTAACAAGCCTCGACGCTTATTTTTCAGATTGGTTGTCCTGTCGTGGCAAACAAGAATCAATTGTTTAACTTGTCCAAACATTTTACTTGTGCACATCTATGAGCGTTAATGTCCTCTTTGGTGTTCAGTGCATTATCATATTATACAGGGAGCTGTATAATATAGATTATTCATAATAGATATATAAAATATATAAGTATCATCTAACATAGTATAGATAGACATGTAGATATATATATATATTATACCACTCCTATATTTTTTGCCAAGTATCTCCCCTGCGGCATATAGGCTCGCAAAACCCCCCCCCCCCCCCACCGGTACCTAGGATGTGTCTGCTGCCGCAGTTGCATGCGTACGGTGCGTGTGTAATTACACTTACACATATATACCGTATCTTACTTGTGTTTAAACCCACAGCTTTTTTGAACACAACTTCAATAAAAAAAATCGGGGTGCGACTTCATAGACGACGGCTAAGAAATCTGTTAATGTACCAATGTTTCAATGCAAATATGGGTAGACGTTATATTTACATGAATTTATACATTATACACGAGTATAACTTACCAGTACATGTAAATCGTAAATGAAATTCACACGTTTATCGTTAGCATGCTGGCACGCTCATGGTGTCATGTACGATTGCAGCTTCTTTCTCAATCACAGGGAAGATTTTGCTGTCGTCCTCTCTCCCAGCGAGCCACCCCTCTACATATTCAGTAAAGAATATTGCCCCAACCCGACTTATAAACAATCGGACGCCCCCCCAGTACATAACAATAAAATGCTTGCCCCGGCCAGGGAGGTACGCATTGCGTCTGAATAGAATCTGTCAATGGGTAACAGCTGGGTGTCGCGGCCACGCGTTTTATTTTCAAGGACCTTTGAAAACGTCCTTGAAGTGGAGAAATGTGGTGCGAATAGCGCCTGGCTCAAGAGGATCGTTAAGAATCATTATTAAACAACTAAACTTTTCAGTTGTTCCGATCAAGCACTAGCAAAGAATAACTTGTCCGACATAGGACTTTACTTGTCCGGGGCCATCTATTCGTCACAAACCTCCCCCTCCCCTATCCATTGAGTGCTCTCATAGCAGGAATTTTGCATTAAAGATATTGTCAATGAAATCTTGTAAAACGAACCAGACGAGTGTGACACCACAGACTGTTTGTTATCTGCGTGTCTATATAATATGCTATATAATTGCCAAACCCTACCTAATTTGCATAATTTTTTTTAAATATCAAAACTCCTAGCCCTTATTCATTCACATACCAAAAATGAGCAAAATCCGTTGAGCCTGAACTGACTAATGGCAATTCCCATTTTTGGCAAAAAATTGCCGTGGCTCGAAAGTACGTCGACTGGCG